AAAGTGGATAAAGATGTGGTATACATATACAGTGGAATATTACTCAGCCACAAAAAGAATGAAATACTGCCATTCGCAGCAACATGGATGGACCTAATAATTACTATGCTAAGTGAAGCCAGATAGAAAAAGACAAGTATTATATGATATCACTGATTGTAGAATCTAAAAAACAAACAAACTTATTTATAAAACAGAAACAGATTCAGAGGCATATAAAACAAACTTACATTTACCAAAGGGGAAAGGGGAGAAGGAGGGATAAATTAGGAGCACGGGATTGACAAACACACAACTATATCTATATAAAACAGATAAACAATAAGGATTTACTGTATAGCATAGGGAACTATATATTCAATATACTGTGATTACCTATAATGGAAAAGAATCTGAAGCTGTACACCTGACACTAACACAATTAAGTCAACTATAGTTAAATGAAAAAAAAAAGTAAAGAAAAGCTACCATTCCTCCAAAACACAAGGCCCAAATGGTGTAACGGGTTAAAAAAAAATCCTTCATGAAGAAAAATCTTATACAACACAGTGAATTCAGAAGCTCATGAAAAGAGGCCATCAATCCTAACATCTTCAGAACAAGATACATCACCTCATACTGCAAATGTTAATGAAATACATTACTTGTGTGGCTACTGTGCAATTTTCATCAATGCTAACACATTTCCCATTCAGATGGTCCTATTTTGGCAACCACTGTATGGAATCAAAACCCAGGATGCAGCAGGTGAGGGGAACAGCCCAGTGGTAGAGCACATACTTGGCATGCTGGTCCTCGATTCAATTCCTAGTGCCTCCATTAAGGGAAAAAAGAATTTTAAAAAAAAGCGGGGGGAATGCGGTTCTTCAGTTGAGGAGAAATGTATTTGAAACTTGTATTGTCGAATCCTCCCCACATTAATGCAGAAGACAACTACACTGGCACTTACGTTTGGGTCTGTAGGAAGATTTATCTTGCCTCTCCTTAAGCATATCAGTACCCTGGAGTTTGCAACCCCTAGCACAGTAGCAGTATTTGTAGGGACAACAGAAGCAATTTTCACTCCACTGGAAAGAGTTCAAGCACTACATTAAGACCACAAGCATCATGACAAAGTTATAAACACTTATCAGGCTTTCAAGACACTGAAATGCCATGGAATTACAGAGTATTATGGAGGATGGATGCCTATTTTTAAAAGATTCAGCAACGTCCCTTCTTTTGCCTTTGAGGTAATGTCAAGGAGCATCTGCCTACCATGATGACTCATAGTGCTCATCTGGTCAATGATTTTATCTGTGGAGGTCCCATGTTGGGACTTTGTTTTTTCCAGTTAATGTTGTAAAATCTTCATGTAGTCTCAGATTGATGGGAAATTTCTATCTTTCCTGAAGGTTTTCCAAAAAATCTGGCTAGAATGGGACTGACAAATCTTTTCAAAGCTGTCCATGTAAATTACCATCAGTCCCTCATCTCTTGGGGCATAGTTAATGTGACTTACGAGTTCTTGTTAAAGATTATGTGAAAGAAATTGGTTAAGTGCCATTTATCAACTGAATAGACCTAAGAAGAATGCAGTTTGGTCTCATTTCTAATTGGCCAAATTACTGGGGAGAGGGGGAAGAAAAAAAGAAATAATCTTTTGGACACAAATGTCCTTAGAAATAAAAATTCAAGAATCCCAAAGAAAAAGCAACCTAAGTGTCCACTGATGGATGGATAAAAAAGATGTGGCAGAGTAGAACCACAAGCTCGCCTCTCCTCGTGACTACAACAAAACCACAACTGACTGCTAAACAACCACTAGACAAAACGATGGGAATCTAGCAAAAAAGATCTTCAACTAGAAACATAAAGAGAGAACCAGAGTAGGACATTAGGAGAGGCATGCTTGTGATATAACTGGGTTCCATTACCTCCAGGTGGGCAACCCATAACCTGAAGAATAATTAAGCTACAGAGGCCCTCCTACAGGAGTGAGAGTTCTCAGCCCCACGTCAGGCTCCCCAGCCCAGGGTTGTGGCATTGGGAGGAGGAGATCCCAGGTCATCCAGTTTTGAAGGCCAGTGGGGCTTAACTCCAGGAGACCCATGGGACTGAGGGAAACAGAGATTTCATTCTCTTGGGAAGCGTACACAGACTCTTTGCATGCGCCAGGTCCAAGGGCAGAGGCAGTCATTTCATAGGAACCCAGGCCAGACCTGCCTGTTGGTTTTAGAAGGTCCCCTGGGAAGGCAAAGGATGGCTGCAGCTCACCCAGGGGACATAGAAGCTGGTGACAGACATTCTGGAAGTGTTCACCTATATGTGCTTTCCTGGAGGCTGACACCTTGATTGGATCATTAGCATCAAGACTTAGCCCCACCCAACAGCCCGCAGGCTTAAGGGCTGGGAAGACTCAGGCCAAACAACACATTGAATGGGAACCCAGTCCCACCCATCAGCAGACTTCCTGAGCCACAAACTCCTCTAGACACTGCCCTACCCACCATAGGTCCAGAATCACGCTTCACCCAGCAGTGGCCAGGCATTAACTCCTCCTGCCAAGAAACCTGCATAAGCCTCTAGTCCAGCCTCATTCACCAGGGGCAGATACCAGAAATAAGAAAACAACAATCTCAAAGCCTGTGGAAGGAATCCACATACACAGGCCAGGCTCTACACTGGGACTGGCTGGAACCTGGTCCTTGGGTGACAAGAGAGGAGTGTACTGCTGGGACACATAGGATGTCTCCCACAGAGGGCCACCTCTCCAAGGTCGAGAAACATAACTAACCTATCTAGAAATATAAACAGAAAGATAAACAATACGAGGTGGCAGAGAAATATCTTCCAGGCCAAGGCACAAGGTAACACCCCAGGAGAAGAAATAAGTGATGAGGAGATAGGCAATTTATCCAAGAGTTTAGAATAACGATGGCAAAGATGTTCAGAGAACTTGAGGAGTACAGATGCACAGAGTGAAGTTTTTAGCAAAGAGAAAATATAAAGTATACCCAAACAGGATTGAAGAATAAAATTACTGTAATGAATAGCACGCTAGAAGGAACCAAAATAGACTAAATGAGGCAGAGCACGAATTAGTGAGATAGAAGACAGATTAGTGGAAATCACTAATGCAGAACAGAAAAAAGAAAAAAAGAATGAAAAGAAATAAGGATAGTTTAAGAGAACTCTGGGACAACATGAAATGCACTAATATTCACATTATAGGGGTCCCAGAAAGAGGAGAGAGAAAGAAAGAACCTGAGAAATTTTTTGAAGAGATAGTAACAGAAAACTCCTCCAACTTGGGAAAGGAAATAGTCGCCCAAGTCTGGGAAGCGCAAACAGCTCCACATAGGATCAACCCAAAGAGGAACATACCAAGGCACATAGTAACCACACTGACAAAAATTAAGGATAGGAGAAAATACTAAAACGTGCAAAAGAAAAGCAACAAATAACATACAAGGGAACTCTCATAAGGTTATCAGCTGATTTTTCAGCAGAAACTCTACAGTCCAGAAGGGAGAAGCATGCTATATTCAAAGTGATGAAAGGGTAAAACTTACAACCAGGAATACTCTATCTTAGCAAGGCTCTCATTCAGATTTGATGGAGAAATCAAAAGCTTCACAGATTAACAAAAACTAAAAGAATTCAGCACCACCAAACAAGCTTTACAACAAATGTGAAAGAACTTCTCTAGCCATCAAACCACAAGAAAAGAGAACAAAAAGAGAAAAAAAAACACCTACAAAAGATTGCTTTGGCAGTTTGGGGTCTTTTAGGGTTCCATATAAATTGTGGAATTGTTTGTTCTAGT